TTCCCGCCGCATCAGAGCAGCAAAGCATCTTCCACCAAAATTCCAAGGTCTTCACCCGCCACTCCTCAGCACTCACTGGTGAGAGCGAACCCGTTCTTCCAAGGAAGTTCACCTTGGTGTACATTCCTGTTGTGCACACCCGTGCCTTACCCCCTCGAGTTCAAACCTTCGCTGTGCAGCAGTAGGTGCACAACGTATATATGTCTTCCCGCTCCCACCAAAGCTTATGTGCGCTCCGATGTCAAGGCCTTTCCACTCAGGCATCCCAGAATGCTGATGGCAGCCCGCTCTCTCCCTCTGACCAGCCTGGGACATTCAGGACACAGTGGCTTGTTGCCCTCTTTCCTGCCGCGCTAGTGAGCTACCACCGAGCAGGATGCTGGGACCAGGGACACAGCCCACCAGTTTGCTCACCAGTCTCTACCACACTGCTTGTCCCACCACACTTTACAGCTCCTCTGCTGGCAAAACAAGAAAGCAGTCTGGAGATTTGTCTCATTGCACAGAGGTGGGAGCCCTACTCTGTTACTTCTTTCCAGATTTGAGGATTGGTGCTTCATTTGTGCTTGTTTCCTACTCTAACACCCAACAGACAAGAGTTCATCCAAGCTTTTTGAATGAGGTATTCTGTGAAAGCATACTGGTGGAAGTCTGTTGCTTTCTAAACATTAATATCCAAGACACATATCTGAGGTTACCTGGGATGAATTGTGAAGATGGCAGTGTAAACTTTTGGGGTGGTGGTGAATGGAGGAGACAGTGCTGAGTGTGTTGCTCTGGAGCATTCATTTCTCATTAGCTGAAGGAGACTGGCACTTAGCCTTTGCTGGTTTGGAGTTGTGACACATTCATGGTATCTTCTGGGAACCTAGAAACAATAGAGAGGCATGAGGGAAGGAATGGAAACTGAAGGAAAGTGAAAATTCAACAGCAATATCATTCACTGGTAATCATCTAAAAAGTCAAATTACTGTTTCAGATGAAGAGAATTCTCTTAGATCGATGTGAAGATTTCTGTTTCTGAAAGAAGTACGGTGGGGATGTCTTTCTCTGCACAAGACACCTTTTCTGTCTGCCATTCCATGTGAATTCCTCTGGCTGATATTGCAACGTGAGTTGATCCTTGATGATCTTATATCAGAGACAGATGTCTACGCCACAGGGAAGGGTTCTGTTCTGTGGTAGGCGGGTGCCAATCCCACAAGATCACAAAAATGTGTTAATAGTGACTAACTCATAAAAGTGAGGAGTTCATACCAACTTGGAGATGATTTGTAATAGACTACCATGCTGAAATTCTTGAGCAAGGCACTCATGCAATAATGAATAAAAAATATGGTGAATATTTTGATACCTGAGGAAACAAATTAATGTTTGCTATTGTGTTGCATTAACGTTAGACATACGCTCCAGAGTCATAGAATCATGGAATGGTTTGGGTTGGAAGGGACCTTAAAGATCATTTAGTTCCAAACCCCCTGCCATGGGCAGGGACACGTTCCCCTAGATCAGCCCTAGATTCAGCCTGTGTCTGTGCAACTTGCAGTGTCAATAAAATAACACACTCAGTCCTATACATCTGCTTCCCAAGTGAGCTGGAAAGGAAAGTTTTCATCTGCAAATCCTAGGAGAACCTCTTACCAACACGAAGATATTCCACGGCAGTACGTGAGGACTTCAAGACATTAATCTGACAGTATTTTCTTAAGTTTTCTTCCAAGTTTTCCGCATTTAAATACATCCCAGACAAATCTTCTATAAACTGGGGGACAGGGGAGATTTCCTTAACTCTTTCATACATACACATGTTAAGAATCATAGAATCACAGAATGGTTTGGGTTGGAAGGGACCTCAAAGATCACCTAGTTCCAACCCCTTGCTATGGGCAGGGACACCCTCCACTGCACCAGGTTGCCCAAAGCCTCATCCAGCCTGGCCTTGAACACTTCCAGGGATGGGGCAGCCACAACTTCTCTGGGCAACCTGTGCCAGTGCCTCACCACCCTCAGAGTACAAAATTTCTTTCTTATATCCAATCAAAATCTCCCCTCTTTCAGTTTAAAGCCATTGCCCCTTGTCCTATCAGTATATGCCCTTGTAAAAAGTCCCTCTCCAGCTTTCCTGTAGGCCCCCTTTAAGTACTGGAAGGCTGCTATAAGATCACCCCGGAGCCTTCTCTTCTCCAGGCTGAACAGCCCCAACTCTCTCAGCCTGTCTCCATAGCAGAGGTGCTCCAGCCCTCGCATCATCTCCGTGGCCTCCTCTGGACTCACTCAAGAAATACTGCTCAAAAGTTATCCTATGGTTTTGACTAGCACTCAAAGTGAACACCTAACTTGGTAGTTGTCAAACTGTGGTGTGAAGCCCACAGTGATGTAAGACTAACTGCAATGACAGAGAGAAAAAACAATTCAGTAGCTTAACTGGTGAACCACTGTACTGAGGATGAAGGAATTTTTTAAAAGGTAACAGTAGTGTATGTGGGTCATAAATGCTTTTGCATTAATTTAAATATTTAGCACCCAAACTTTTCATTTTTCTTCTATTTATGAATGAATGAAACCAGTGAAATAGTTATAGCTTTTGGATTCTAAGATTCATATATTACTAACAGTGATATAGAATATATTACAATTATATTGTTTATAGCTTCGAGAATGATATCAAGAATGATGCATTTAAATGGAAAGGCATGCACTGAAAGGCCTTTCCTTGGGAGATTTTTTTGCAAGAAACTGTAATCTCATTCAGAAAAAATTTCTTAGTGGAAAGTGTAGGAAAAAGGAGTGCAGGTTTTTTAAAGAGACAGTGAAAGGATTAACACTTAAGATTTTCTTACAATAAAAAACTAAAATAGCTGGTGTGAAAGGGAGGAATATGAGGACACTGACTGAATCTACATTGTGGGAAACCTGAGAATCGAAGAAGAGCTCTTTAACCTAAAGAAAGGAAAAAATTAGCCCGACAACATCATCCCATCCCATCCCATCCCATCCCATCCCATCCCATCCCATCCCATCCTGAGTTAAATCTAGGCTGAAAAGCAGAAGACAATTTCAAACCGTAAGTCCAGAGATGTTTTAGAACAGCCAAAAAACCAGAACATCTAACTTATTTTGAGTTGATGTTTGAGGAGGACCTTGGACTTGATGTTCTTTGAAAGAAGGCCACTTCCAGTGCTATCTTGTTTTTATCTCATTTTAAACAAATTTTATTTTATTTTAAATTTTTTTTTTTTCTTTTTCATGAACTGAGCTGTCAAGATACAAGTTGAAGAATTGTCCCACACTCCAGGACCTCCATGGAGACCTTAAGGACCATCAGATCCCAGTCACGTACCACATGGCAGAAATAATTACACCTGAATTATTCCTGGCAGATACTTGCGCAGCCTCTTCTTACGAAACTGCAGTGGTGGCAATTCCATAGCCTCCCGGTGCTTAACTCTTCCTAACATTTGAAATCCCTTCCTCAACCAAAACATCTTGTATTAACTAAAATCTTTCCTGCTGCAACTTTAGCCTATTTCTTCTTTTTGCTTCAGCAGACTAAATTAACGGATTCTTTACTGCCTCTTTGTAGCAGGAAGGTTATGTGACAATCGTTCCTGGATCTTGATTCAGGTCTCTCCATAAAAATAAACAGGCTGTTCTTTTCATCTTGCCTGTAGGTCATATTTTCTAGACTCCTGATCATTCTTGTTCCTCTCCCCACACTCCTTCCAGGTGGCCTGCATCCTTCTTGAAGTGTCATGCCAAAACTAAACACAGCACTCCAACAAAAGGCTCTGCAGTGTCAGATAGTGCAGAATTGCATCATATATTTTCCAGATGACATTTCGGTTTATACAAAATCCTGGTTTGACACTTGCTGTTGGGGAGATTTCCTTTTAAAATAACAAGTCAGGTTCTTAAAATACCTATTTCATTTAAAATGCCTTTGACGAGA